AATTGTTAGTAATTTTTATGAATAGTTAGCAATCTAATACAGTAAATGTCAAATGTGAGGGACTGTTTGGTTTGCTGAAAAAATACTTCAGTGTAAAAAGAATGTAGTATCAAAGTAATATGTTTTATTTGGAATAATTATGAGCTGTTTGGTTTAGTGTAAAATAAATGCACAACTTTATAATTTTTACTTCTTTTGAACTTAAATGAAAGTAATATAAAAGGTGAGATTGACAATAGGCTGGGTGGCGATGGGCTCCGAGTGGCAGCAGCTGGCAGACGGTTGGCGGCTGGTAGGAAGTTGAACTGGTGGCGGCAGGTAGGCATGTGAGCTGGTGGCGGCGACAATGTTGTTGGTGGGCAACTTAAAGTTAACGACAGTGTTGGTAGGCGGACCGGTGGCGGCGAGCGGATTGTAAGGGTGGGCGGCAGTGACAAGCGGTTGGCGGCAGACAACTCTAGTGGCCGACAATATTTTACATCAAATCGTGTATTTTAAATTTACTCAAATCCAATGGATTTCAAATGCATTAAAATGAATGAAGGAATGAATTCCAAATGCATTGCTATATTACATTGTATTTGAAATTCTTCCTACCAAATCACTGGATTTCCAAAACTTATGCAATGCAATGCAGTCTTTTTGCAGCTGACCAAACAACGCCTAAATGTGGTCTTCCTTTGGAATGCTAGCATTTTACCGTCTAATTTACCCCGGTAGTTCTTGGGATGAGAAAGAAGTTAATAAAAAGCTTTGAAATTTGTGTCTAATTAGACTAAACTATAACAAAATTTAGACTAAGTGGGACGGTAAATATAAAATAATTAAGAAACCCTACTTCTACTATCACAATGAAAATGTTGAATGATGGTATGTGTCAGCATTGTATTTATTCATTTTTAATTTTATTAAAGTATGCCTTCCGATGTATTTTATTTTATATATATATATATATATATAAGCACAAGGGCTAATATATTAAAGAGGAAAATGTACAGATAAGTTGTATGAGATGACCTAAAAGAAGACCAAACTCACACAATACAACACATACAAAAATTCAAAGAAGCAAAGATACATAAAAATAAAAAATCAAAAATCCACCAACGGGGGTAAAGGTGTTAGGGAAGTCCCATTTTAGTTTTTCCTCTGCCTCTAGTTCTTGGACGGGAGCCAACTAAGAAATTTGTAAGATGCGTACCACTACTCGAAGTAACCAAAGTATCATCCATCAAATTTCTGAGCTCAAGTATGTCTCCATACTTTTTTTTCTTCCTCCTGGATGTGTAGACATGTCATTCCTCATCCGAGGATTGACTCAATTAATCAATGGATTGGTCCAAAGGTGACCAGACAGGTGTAGGAGGTTGCACACCTTGATCCCCTGAGTCTGAGTAGCATTGACATCTTTCTGGACCTGATGAGGCGGTAGTGAAGCAACAGAGGTATATTCACCTGTAATATCAGTGATAACTAGGATAGACGAAGTCTGAAGATTCTCCCTCGCCTCCACGATAGGAGGTTCTGAAGATGGGGGAGCTATAACAATGTGTGGAGACTGAATGATTGATATATTGCCTGCGGGAATAGTGACGTCTTCATGTGTATGTTTTTGATGATCGATAGTGTCAATAACTTGGAGCTGATCAGGAAGAATTCGAATCACTGCCTCTAGCAGAGCACTTTGTTTTTTTGGTCTGAGGTGGAGATGTAGATGATGACATTGAGTGCTGGAGTGGCCGAACATATGACAATTTGAACAATACGAAGGAAAAGTCTCATTCTCTATCTTCTACCAATATCCATGATGCTGTGTGACCAATCATATTTTCTCAGAAGCAGAAGAAGTAATGTCTCTTTCAACAAGTACTCTGGCTTCAGATGGACGAGAAAGATTAAAAGTAGAAATGTCCATTTTGAGTGACTTACCATAAACTGAGACAGTAGAATACAACACTTTTTGAGAAAAATAATAAAATTTCATATCAGGAAGGCGAATCAAAATCGGAATGATTGGCGGTTCCGTCTGTGGGTCAAAATCCACAGATCATTTCAGAATCTTCGTTTCTCTGTTATCAATTTAGATTATCCTTCTAGTAAATAAGCGTGTGTATTCTTTTTCATTATTAATTTGAATAAGAATATGTCTACCATCTAATAGTCCAATTTTCAACTCTTCAATAAGGTGCATAAGTTCAAATTCTTTGCGAATAAGCTTCATTTTGAGATGACCATATAGAAATTTCCCAACCAAATTTAGACGACAGGAGGAAGCAAGTTGAATATCTTCAGCTTCTGTAAAAAAGATGACAGACTTTTGATTTTTCCTACCAGGTTTTGTGATGTCCTCCTCCCACTCAAATGAAGGAGGGGAAAAATACGATTTAGGTGTACCTGAGGCGTGGACATCCGTGAGGGCAGCTGCATACGATCTGTTTGAAGTCATATTCAAAATAAAGGTGTGATGTTAAGAAGAAAACATGGAAAAGTGGCGTCGACCGAAGAAGCTGAAAAGGAGAACACCGGGAGCCGCACTGCAGAGAGCCGAGACGAGAAGGAGGCGCGAGAGCTACTCGCGAGATGGGAAGGAGCGGGAGCCGCAGAACTCGCGAGAGACCGCAGAGCCGAGAAAGCTTGCAAGACGGGAAGGACGCGCCGCAGATCGCGACACCCAGGGAAAATCAGGCGCGAAACGCGAAGGCGCCTGTGACTTAGATTTTTATATAGTTATCTCAGGTTATGCTTTGCTTGATTTATGTCCATCATTGGACAAATCCCTCCATGAGATTTGTCTTGAAATTTGAGGGCATCCTCCGACTATGAATTTTTTTATTACTGTACCTTTTACGAGGGGAAATTACTTAGAACATATGTTTATGGTTAGGAGCTTAATTTTTGTTATGAAACCCCCATTTTGATTTACAATAATTATGTCTAGCATGGTGTGGCGGAGGCACCGTTTATTGTAACATGTGGATCATTGTGCTATGAGTTTTTGCCAACTCTGTCATTTGTAGGGGATTGGGCATGAGAATTTATTTCTAGATATTTATTAAGTCCATAGTTTTCACTTTTGTAAAGTCATGTCATTATTTCCATATTTTTTTTCTTGTCGATGTACAATCGTGTACCCTATATGTCACGTGTACGTTCAACTTTTAAGTCTCTCAACCTTTAGGAAGCAACAAGGAGGATACTCTTTGTTCATTGGCAAGCTATCAAGGGTTTTTGTCAGTTTATTAGTTTTGTTCAATTTTGTCCTCTTAATATGAGTTATATCTTATTTTTATTTCTTGGACTATTTTTCATTTTCATCATCTCATATTTGTCCTAAAATTAATTTTTTATTATTTTCATGTAAAATTTAGATAATATTTTTTAGTGCTTTCGCATTGCCTCCAAGTAGAGGGCATCGTTGTGTTTTCCAGGGCCACCCACCGTGTAAAAAAGATATGTATAGATGGTATACTAGACACGATTATTTGATATAGAATCTTTCTAGAAAGATGCATATGGATGGAATGCGGAGTTCTTGGTCGTGTCTTTAAATCTATCACACTAATAAATGCATTTATGGACATTCTATGCACAAGTTGTTACAAAAGGATCAGGATGTAATTATACATCTCTGTATTAAGAAAGGTGCGTACATATACTTATATGAGGTTGCAATGTTACTTTATTTCTATCACTCAAGAAATGTGTGTATGGACATTTGGAGTTTTCTTGCACAAGTATAAAAGAGGGACAATAGGATTTTTTTACTGTGTCATGAAAGATGCATACATGTCTCATGTACGGTGTTGATGAGATCTCAATTACGCGCCTTTGCATGAGGTTGGCGATGAAATAATGACTAGGACTAAGGAGAGTGTCAAAGAGAGTGGGGTTGCGAGGTGAAGTGGTTGTCAATTATTGGGTGTTAATGGTGGGTGAAGAGGCCATGGGTTGAGAGTTTGGGAGCGGGGGACATTAAAATATAGAGGAAATGAGAGAAAAATAGGCGATGAATTCACTCAAAATTCTAGCAGCTTAGATTGATAATCACAACACTATTGAAGATATATTTTATCAAATTTGATAGAACTAATTCACAAATGTAAGCAACTACTTATAAATAGAAGCAAGGAAACGGATAAGAGTTTTCAAAATAGTAGATCCAAGCCTCACCTAGCAAGAGGTGATGAATTCACTCAAAATTCTAGCAGGTTAGAGAGAGTTAACATCAAATGAATCAGAAATTAGTTGATTCAAAATTGAATCTTGAAAAAATATTTTGACATATGTTACATACCTCTATTTATAATCATGATATTCCTCTTATTTGCCTTCAATTACGTGCATTAATTAAGGATTTCAAATCTATCAATATGTGTAGACTCTTGGACAAGTTCTTCATTGTTGAAATCCTTATACTTGCTGCAACTTGTTGGAATTAGCTATTTCAATATATGAATGTATATGCTATCGATTATTTGCTTTTATTATATATATTTCTTTCACCATTCAATTGCCGTCACTTCTTTTGCATATTATTGGGCCTTCAGCACGGTGCATATCTTAGTAAAATATGCACATGTATCATATGATTTTTTTATAGAGTTTGCAATAAAAAATATGGTTCATGAAATTAAATATAAATTGTTAAATTTATATAAATAAAATTTATTCTTGATATATCATATTGAGATATATAAATAAGTTTTTATCTAAATACCGAGTTTAGTTCACAAATTATGAAGTTTAAGATTCTTGTATTTTTCCGTATTTAAAAAATTGGTAAAACATTAGTTTTCTTTTTGTTAATAACTCATACACGCAGATTTATGCAGTTATGAAGAGCAAATTTTCCAACTATGGTACATAAGCAACGTCTCTTTTTTGAATGAGTATTCAAGCATAATCTATTCATGGACTTTTCGTGCATTATTCTTCTGGTATTCAGTTGTCTTAAAAAAAAGGCTTATCTCTACTTGCTAAGGTTTTCATCTTCTCTTCAGGCAGTAAATCAGCTGTGCAGTCACTTTGAAGCTTATAGAGATGTACCAAAAATAGCTGAACTTCGAGAGAAATTCAAGAACATCAAAAAGATTCTTAAATCTCATGTATTTTCAGATTTTTCAAGGTTTGTTGCCATATGTGTAGACTAAGCCCAGTGAAAGATAATTATTTCTATACTGTTATGTGAAGCTTTTTTATTAAATAATTAATTTCTTTGTTCCACGGATAGTTATTATTAATCGACAATTTTCTTAAGCCCTGTTTGGGATCACTTTCTATTTTCTGTTTTTTTATTTTTGAAAATAAAAGAATAGAAAACAAACAAAAAACAGTGGCAGTTTTTTCTTTTTTTTATTTTTTTAAAATTTTATTTTTAAAACACATAAGTTGTGTTTTTAAAACATCAAAAACACAAATTTTGTTTTCGCTGTTTCAAAAACATTTTTCGAAGCTAGCGGGGTTGCACATTAGAAAAGAGAAAAAGTCCCACAAATACTATATTTCCTTTTCGTTATAATCTTGTAACCGCTTATTTGCTTCAAATAATAATATTTCTTTTTCCGTTATGATTTGGGTTACCTCAGGTATCATTTTGTTTTCAAAATTCTAATAATATCTCCCATAATTATGAAAATCTCTATCAATATTTATTTTATTTGAATTAGAGAAAATCCTTGGAGTTTTAGATGTAATCTTTAATGCCTCCGTGTTTCTTATTCAGGAGCATTTAATGCTTGTAGGTTATATTTTGTTATTAAAGAGTCAACTAAGAGGGTTTAGCTATACTTATGTTAACTCTATATGTTTAATGTAGGACATCTACGATCTAAGTTTCTTTTCTACTACAACAACAACAACAACAAACCTTTGTCCAACTAAGTGGGGTCGGCTACATGAATCATTTTTTCTCCTTTGTATAACGGAACCAAATAATGCAATGAGTGAATATTAAGCATGCAAAGAAAAATTAAAAAATCATAAATAGCTAATTAAAACCATTATCCGTTCTCTTTTGGTATCTGCAAGAAAATATGCAAAATTGTCTGACAACAATTTAGCTACACTCATATAATTCATAGAAGTTGTGGGAAAATTGAAATCAGTATATACCATAATTCAATACGAATTCATAATGCAATTAGAAAGTTTATTTTGTAGCAAATTGAAACACAATTAATCACAAATTATATAGAGAAAAAAAAAAGGTAAGAAAACTCCAAATATGAAATCCAGCTTGATGCTCTTGTTAGAGCATGACTTCCCTTGAAAATTGATTCTTAACATTTGCACCATATCATAAGAATTTAAAATGTAACAAGCATTCAAAATTTAGAGAAACCAGTGATTTTATTAAGAAAAGAAATAAAAATTACATGCCTTAGATTTGATATCATAAATATAAAAATTTTCCAGTGTCCGTAATCCCAAACTCTTAAAATCCATATAGCTGTAAACCAGCGCTCGTTCCCTAATAGCAGTAAACCAGCGCTCACAATGAACCAAGCTAAATATTTGAATCAAAAGCTGAACTAAGGCAAATAAATCGAACCAAGTAAAGGGAATTAGAGTCTTAGAGTTTATATTGCGTTCTCAGTGTCGATGTTATATACATGATTACACAAGTAAATTAAATTTAATCACTTAAATACTAGATAGAAAGAAATAGAAAAAAATAGCTTAAATAAAAATTAAAACTTTGCTGACTAGTTTGCTTATTTCAATGCACAAGATGTATATTTTTGACAAACATAAACTTCATATGTTCAGCACCGCTCTTGATATGGTCTTGATTGTGATGATGGCCTGTTGAAATGGCGAAAGAGTCTAACAAATCCCCCAAGTAAATGATATGAAGCTTTTAACGATGATGATGATTTGCAAGAAATTAATTTCTTAACTAGTTTTTTATTTCTTGGTTCTGTATTACTCGAATATTCTCTTTGAATTATTTAAATTTTATAGTTTACTTTTTTCAACGTTATTATTATTAGTATTTTTACAGCTTGGGAACTGGAAAAGAGACGGAAGAAACAAATTTACTGCAGCAGCTTTCAGATGCTTGCTTGGTGGTTGATGCATTAGAGCCATCTGTTAGGGAAGAGTTGGTAAAAGATTTTTGCCAGAAGGAACTAACTTCTTACAGGCAGATTTTTGAAGGCGCAGGTGAAACTTAATGAATAGCTATGATTTTTTTTGTTTTTATTTCATTAATATTATTACTATCTTTCTTTAATTTTCTCTAATACTTATGTCTGTATTCTTATAATTTCTCTGGTCCTCAATTTAAAACTGTTGTTTTGAAGGTGTTTTTTTTTCTTTTTTTGAAGGTTCTTCACAGTTAGAATAGAGCCTCTTTTCTAATGATCTGCTTTTTTGATTCAGTTTTTGAACACATGATGAGAGAGAGAGAGAGAGAGCTAGAGCTTTTTTCCTCACATTTTCCACCATTAATCCTATAATTAAAAAAGTTGACATTTAAAGTAGTTTTATTGATATTTAAAAATATTATCTTAAACCTTATATTAGCTATTTTAAACTCTTAATCATGCAAAATTTTAAATGAAACGTGGAAGATATGCGAGGGCAAATATTTCTATTCTTACAAAAGATTAATATTCTTATCTTCTTACATGCATAAAGAGAGCGAGAGAGATTTTCTTGTAAATTGTTTTCTCTTCCACACTTATATAGTTTTCAAAGTAACTTCAACCCTAAGATCAAATTAAAAAGATTGAGGCTTGATGTTAAACCTCAGGCCAAAAGTAATGAAATGAATCAAAATCTAATTTTTATTACTATTAATACTTTTTTAAAAATCAATGCGCTACAACTTGATTTGATTATTGATTATTATGAAAGCAAGAAATATTGCCTCTGATGCCATGCACAAAGATCCACAACTTGACCTTAAATCAATTATTTTTACCCTCTTTTATCTCCCAACCCTAAACTCTAGCCATGCCAGTAAGGAGATACATGCTCGAGCCTATTCGGGAAGAGATACAACGAGGGATCCACCAAGTTCAGCGGAGGCGTGTGGATATTGTTGATGAAATACAATGGGAGATTACCCTCGACCGAGATTGGGAGAGTCTAAGGGGAGCCAGAGACAAGGATCTAAATCCCTTCCATAGGGAGGACTTCAGTAATGTAAAAGACCGACCAAGGCGCTTTGGAAGCCAGTATTAGAGGAGAACAAGAGCAGAGCCAACATGTGGAAAATGAGAGAATCTGAAGATGAAACGAGAGATCCAACGCTAGTACTTATCAACTGACTGGAGACAGAAGATTCAGACTCTAGCTTCAGATGTAGAGAACACTTCACCGGGTGACCACCACGTCTTACAGACAGTCCTTAACCTCAGGGTCTTACAACCATATTACACCAGGAGACAAGCTGAACCCGTTAGAGGAAAAACCAAGTCAGAGTGGAGAACAAGTGGAAACAATTAGTATCTCATAATCTTTCCCTGCCAGGAAGTGTTGCAAGTGTTACAAATTTGGGCATGTTGAATCAGATTGCACAACTAGACAGTGATCTGTGTCATGGAGCAGGACGTTCTTGAAAAATTGAGTAATGATACAACAGACACTAACGACGGCGAGGACACAAAGCAGGACCAATTTCAAGTTGAAGAGATAAACGATGATCCAAAAGAATATGCAGACTTCATAGAGGATTTTCAATTTTCAGCGAAAGCGGAAGAGACGCCATCAATTCTAGTAGACCCCAAGATAGACATTCCAGCTGAGGTAACGATGGCTATTCTAGAAGGTAGTGATTCTGATGTATTGGACATTCTGATAGAGTACAAGATTATAGTGCCTCAAGCTAGCATTTTGCAAGTATTGAGGGTAGCATCAGCAGAACTGACCTTGAATGTCCAAAAAGGGCATGAGTTTGGGGAGCCGATATCAGACATAGAATAATCCAGATAAGAGAAATTCTGACATTTCAGATCCGTAGACTTACCCCTGAGTTGCCTCTACTGAGAGGTTCCGCATGTCAGAGATGAAGCCCTTTTTTGCCATCTCGGGAATATTACATGGAGTTATTCAGATGTTAGATTTAGTTTAGCCGGTGCCCATCATATCATATGTCCAGGCGGGAGTGATGAACCCCATCCTTGAAATTTATCAAAGGAGCTTGATGGGAGGGAAATTCTTCAAAGTGATCTTGATCCTATCAGTGGAGAAGAAGGAGAGGGCTCTCCTGAGTGGTTGTAAGTGAGAGTGGTGCAGCCTGCCACAAGTTTCACCCAGTGTTGACTTCTCATATATTGATTTATCAACTTTTGCTGAGTACGAGAAGTGAAAGAAGCATTTTACAAATGGGATAACTCGATACTTGATTTGTGAGAATATATTCTATCTACAATGCCAGTTCAGATAATGCTAAAAGAGGATAAATACCTATTATGTCAGAATGTGTTGTGTAACGACAACACCTACGTGATCGACCTCCCAGGAGATTGCAATATCTCTTCTACCATTAACGTGAACAACTTGACTCCGTGCTATAAGGAACCAGAAACTTTGATGAATGAATTCAAAGCTCCCACAATCACGGGAGATTTGCGCGGGAGCTTATTATCGCGGTACTGTAGCTGCTACAGTACCACAAACCCCTTTTTCCAATTTGATCCCTTACTTTTTCTATTTCCTTCCTATTCTTATTCTTTCCTATTCTACTTTCTAGTCCTTATGATAAATATGTTGTTTGTTGTGTTTGGGTTAGCTTTTGGTGAGTTTTAATTCAGATTTCCGTCAGGACACCCCTCGATGTAAGTTTTCCCTTTTGAGGGCTGTATCTGAGGGATTGGTCCTCTCATGAGGTGGTGATTATCTTCCTCTCATCACCTTCCGCATCTTCCCACATCCCTCCCTACTGCCTTACCTCGCTGCAACCGACCATAATAACATCCCATTGTTGTTTTCCGCAGTTCTATCCTCCCCCATCGCTTTCTCCTCATCCTCGCTGCTCTCGTTGTCCCAACCCTCCACCTTCGCTGCCGCAACACCCAATATCTTTCCTTTGCCTCCAAATAGCAACCTGTTGTTGTTTGGGCTGCCGCCCCGTGTTGTCCTGCTGTTCTAGCTGCCTATAACCGCTGCCACCCCTCATCCACAGTCTGGAAACCCCTTCCCTACCTTGCCGCCACCTCTCCAAGCCTCCTAGTAGCCACCACCATCACCCAGGATCCACCTTAACGCGAGTTGCGTGTCGTGTGTGCTGTATTTCTCCTATCAAGTGCATTGAATTTCCCCTATCAAGTGCATTGATTGTAACCGTCTATTTGCTTCCAATAATAATGTTTGTTTTTCTCTATTGTGGTTTGGGTTAACTCCGATAGCACTAGTAGAAGACTTACTTTTTGCAAGAAACTAAATGGAATGTAGAAAGTTTTAAAGCATAAATTAATGTTGTAAATTAATTTATATTGGTATAAATGGGGGGGGGGGGGGGGGGGGGGGGGGGCG